GCATTTTAGCCCTCTGCCTATGTCAGTGCACGCGTGCAAATAAAAGGAACACATTTCAACATGTATCACCCAGGTGCACTGTGCAAATGTCGCGTCCAAACGCACGCTAGCGAGGTTTGTACCTAACTTCCTAACTGGGAAAAGGCGACTCACCCCAAGCAGACACCCCTGAATGCCAAAGGGAAGGCAACCTGCGCATTCAAAAAGTGACCCACGGAAGGCTAATCTGCAGGGAGACGCCCTGGCCAGGCTAGCAAGCAACAAGCAAAATGCACGCGAGACCTAGCGCAGAGTACCGATTCGATAGGATTTCGGACGAAGATGCACTTCGAAACCCCAATTTGATGCCCTTGCCAGACTACTTGTGCAACATATAGCAAAATTGCGAAATTTGCTGGAAGCGCCGGAATGTGTGTGTCCGTTCCCGACCAAACAGAGCGACGCACACGGTATCTGATATTAACAAGTCCACATAACCGGAACCTCGGAAATCTTGCGTGGGATACGGGAGTGTGGGGTTCAGTGTCACTTTAATGTGGTAGATTGAGCGTCGTCTATGGCTTGTCGCGGGAATGGTTCGGGTTTTAGGGCTCTAATGGGACACCCGCCAAAGTAGATGACATGCGCGAGAACGACACCTACGCGAGACCTCAAAGATAGCTACAGTAGGTTAAGGAGGTACCAGAACGGAAAACTGCAGGGGCGCTCTCGAGACGCCCGAATGTCATTTCAAAAAAGTGCGCCATACTAGAGAACTGCAATGTGATGCCCTGATGAGGCGCCTTCTGCCTACGCGAGACGCCTTACGTCAAGCGCCCAGTCGTAGTTCGGGCGTCGTTCAATGTGCCAGATGGTCCTTGCGCTTCAGTCCCCCACGTGCACTCCATGCGATTCTGCCCCTGCGCCGCCCCTGCTTTTGCGATGGGCAGAGTTCCTTGCAGCGATATGAACTTGCAGCCTCGCGAGCTCTTGAAGAGTCCGCTTACCGGGTCCCGCTCTAGGGGATTTTGTGCTCCACGGTCAGTTCCTAAGTAAGCACCGCAGGAAATCAAAGCAGTGGATGAGCCAAGTCGCATGAGCCCACCAGGCCGGACTTTGGGCCACCAGGCGCTCAAGTCTTGCAACACGCTCCACCACCTGCCAAGAAATGTGCGTAAGAAATCGTAACAACGAGCTGGTATGTGATAGATTGTGCCTGCAGGCTGGTCGGCAAAAGCGAGAAGCTACAGGCACAAAGCTGTTGCCGAATGCTCTGGTCACTTTCGTACGTGCAGACAAGACACTTGTGATCTGCATCAATGTAGACAAGGTCTAAGCTATCGTCCTCAAAACACCTGCGGGGCAGAGAAACCGAACTCCATGGACTTCTGTGGTGGCGACGTGGCACCCAAGGCTAAGCAAAGAGCATCCACCCTGAACTCCACGGCAACCAAATCGGCCATCATGTCCCGAAGGAGAGTTCTTTATTCTGCGACGGTTTACGCAAAGCATACCTCGCACTCCCCTCAAAGCACCTGGCGAAGGGTTGTGACGAACCCGCCCGCCCCGCCCCCCCCTTCGCTGGTCAAGAGCCGGGAAGAGGAGAACTATCAGACAATAACCAGGTTGACCCATGGTTTCTTGCTACTTGTATCGCTGGCCTGGACGGGCCAACGCTGGTGCTACGGTGGAAAGCCACATCAGCATCAAATCGCTGAGCATCCGCCAGGGTGGCGCAGGCCCTGGGTAAGAGGCAGACGAGCTGAGATTCCCTTGAAACAAAAAAGAACTAAATAGAAAGGTTTTATCACAGCGAAGAGGCTTGGAAAGGCCAAGCCAATGCGGCACCTCCACTCGTCGAGCTCCATGGCGGCCAAAATGTCGCCACACAGCGCGCATGCTGGTATCGTTGCTTTGGCCGGCCATGTCAGAACCAGTTCCGACGGCCTGTCAAGGTTGGGAGTTGTAAATTCCCAGGGACAACGGTGTTGTTGTGCTGGCCGCTTTTTCTCATGCGCTTTGCCTTCAATCAAGGGTGCTTTCATGTGTTTTGCCGGCTCTTCTGTTGTGCCCTCTGCCCCTTGCAGAATCTGCATACGCCTGCTGAGAGGGTTCTTGATGTCCTGGCGACTTCTCCTGTGTTGCTATAATCCATAAATAAATCCAAAACGTGTAAGTTTCGGGGCCATGGTCGAGGGCCGCGAGGGCTTAGGGCTTGGGGTTTCGAACATGGCTTTCAGGCTCTTGGGCGTCACCAAGGTGATGGGAACTTGCTCCCTTCTTCTCCAGGCTGCAGTCAATGCATGGCGCCTTATGCTTAAAGTTCGAGCATTGCTGGCTTACTCCAGTTCCTGAACCGAGAAAAGAGACACCAACACACAGTGCTTGCTGTTCACTGTCAGGTATTAGTCCAAGTGGCTGAGTACTCATTAACAACTGGGAGGATGCTCTGCGCAGTACGCGTACGGATTGAACCCCATTTGCAAAAAAGATGACGACGATGATGATGCTATGATGCTACGATGCTACGATGCTATGATGCTATGATGCTATGATGCTATGATGCTATGATGCTATGATGCTATGATGCTATGATGCTATGATGCTATGATGCTATGTTGATGATGATGATGATGATGATGATGATGATGGAAACATGTTTTTTGCAAGCAGCCCCCTCCCATGTGCAACCTCCCACCCACCCTCCCATGCTGATGGAAGGATCTGGGGCAACTTCGCGCGCGTTCCCTTGCCCAAAGAGAACATGATGATGGAAACATGCTCTTTGCAGCGCCCTCCCCTTCCTATGCTCATAGAAACCTGCTCCTCAATGTTTGAGGTTCTAGCGCTGACAACTTCCTCCAGCGTCACGGCTTACTATACAAAGGCCATGCCAGGAAGAGACGAACGCTTGGAGGAGGAGGATGGGGAAACAGTCAGGTCTGCATAAGACAAGAACGGTCGAAAATGAGAGCTTGGAAGGTGTTTGGGGCAGATGGGGAATGAGAAAAAAGAACACACACGCGCACAGAGCATGGTAAAAACAAGCAGTCCGAGTTTGAAGAATCGAAACCTTGCTCTTCGCAGTGCAAGTGAACAACATGACTAATTTATGAAAAGGTCAGCTGGAGAACCACCCCGCGGGAAGGTCGAATACTAAGTCAATGCTATCGGCCGGCCGCAGCACATTGCAGTTTCAATCGCTGCTCAGAGACAAGCAGGGCCTTCTCAAAATCAGCAGATTCAACTCCAACCCGCCTGGCTTGCAGCACCCATTGGCTGATCGGCAGCTCCCCAGTGGTCAACCAGATGAAGCTCAAAGGCACCTGTCTGTACACTACTCTTGGTGTGGCATCTCTAGTTCGAGCTCTGCTCGCAACAGGACAGTGAAACCATGCACTCGCGCGCATACACACGCACACACACACGCCCATGCAGGCAGGCAGGCAGGCAGGCCACACGCGCGCACACACACACAATAGATACATACTGTAGCTACATACATACATGGTACGTACATACATATGTACATACATACATACATACATACATACATACATACATAATTACATACATACATATACATCTATATATATATCCGCCGACCCCAGCAACAGCGGGGCGGCGTCAGTGAAGACCCTCCCTGCCCTCACCGCAACCTCTTCCCTCTTCACCTCCCTACCCCTTCCCCATCCCCTCCACCCACCCTTGCCCGCCCCCCCTCCCACCACCCTTCCCCTTCCCACCCTTCCCCCCACTCCCACCACCAACCCCTTTCCCCGCTCCCCCCCACTCTTCCCCTTCCCAACGATTCCACTCCATCTTCCTCCCCTACCCCTTCCCAACCATTCTACTCCATCCTCCTCCCCTACCCCGTGCCCTGACCGCAACCTCTTCCCCCTTCCCCTTCTCTACCTTTTTTGACTTGGCTTTGCCTTCTGCCCCTAACCTCCCACCACCAACCCCTTCCCCTGCCTCCCCAACCATTGCGCTCCATCCCCTCCCACTACCCCCCCCTCCCACGCCCACCACCAACCCCTTCCCTGCCCCTCCCACTACCCTTCCCCTTCCCAACCATTCCACTCCATCCTCCTCCCTGCCCTGACCGCAACCTCTTCCCCCTTCCCCTTCTCTACCTTTTTTGACTTGGCTTTGCCTTCTGCCCCTAACCTCCCACCACCAACCCCTTCCCTGCCCCCCCAACCATTGCGCTCCACTACCCCCCCCCCCACGCCCACCACCAACCCCTTCCCTGCCCCTCCCACTACCCCCCCCTCCAACCCCCCTCCCACCCCCATTCCCACTCCACCCCCCCCACCCCCCCCACTCCCACCACCAACCCTTCCCTGCCCTCCCACTACCCTTCCCCTTCCATTCTAGTCCATCCTCCTCCCCTCTCTAGACTCAATCAAATATCTGACTTTTCAAGGCGCCCTCCCCTGCCCCCTTCCGCTCCATCCCCTCCCACTACCCTTCCCCTTCCCAACCATTCCACTCCATCCTCCTCCCCTCTCTAGACTGGATCAGATGACTGACTCAGTGCATGCCCGCCCGCTCCGCTTGCTCCGCCCTTCCCTGCCACCCCACCCCCACCCCCACCCCACCCCCCCACCCCCCCCACCCCACCTTTTTTGACTTAGCCTTCCCCTTCCCAACCATTCAACTCCATCCTCCTCCCCGACCCCTTCCCAACCATTCCACTCCATCCTCCTCCCCTACCCCCTGCCCTCACCGCAACCTCTTCCCCCTTCCCCTTCTCTAGCCTTCTGCCCCTAACCTCCCACCCTCCCCTCTCGACTCCCCCCCCCCCCCCCCACTCCCACCTCCAACCCTTCCCTGCCCTCCCACTACCCTTCCCCTTCCATTCCAGTCCATCCTCCTCCCCTCTCTAGACTCAATCAAATAACTGACTTTTCAAGGCACCCTCCCCTGCCCCCCCAACCATTCTGCTCCATCCCCTCCCACTACCCCCCCCACTCCCACCACCAACCCCTTCCCTGCCCCTCCCACTACCCTTCCCCTTCCCAACCATTCCACTCCATCCTCCTCCCCTGTCTAGAATGGATCAGATGACTGACTCAGTGCGTGCCCGCCCGCTCCACCCCCACCCTGCCCCCCACCCAACCCCCCCCCAACCCCCCCCACCCCCCCCTTACCCCCCCCACCCCACCTTTTTTGACTTAGCCTTCCCCTACCCCTTCCCAACCATTCTACTCCATCCTCCTCCCCTACCCCCTGCCCTCACCGCAACCTCTTCCCCCTTCCCCTTCTCTACCTTTTTTGACTTGGCCTTGTTTTCTGCCCCTAACCTCCCACCACCAACCCCTTCCCCTGCCCCCCCAACCATTCCACTCCATCCCCTCCCACTACCCCCCCCCTCCCACGCCCACCACCAACCCTTTCCCACCCCCCCCCCCCCCCCCCCCCCCCCCCTCCCAACCAACCCTTTGGCCCCTCCCACCCCCATTTCCACTCCCTAGACTCAATCAGATGACTGACCACCCCCACCACCAACCCTTCTTCCCAACCATTCCTTCCGCTTGCCCCTTGCCCGCCCCTAACCCTTCACAATCCTTCGGCTGCTCTACCCTTCCCCTTCCCAACCATTCCACTCCCGCCCCCCCCCCCCCTTCCCCCCCCCCCCCCCCCACCTCCCCCCCCGTGGCTCATGGCCACCTGGTTGGCAGACCCGATCAGCTGACTTTTACGGAGCCACCCGAGTACTCCACCCACCACCAACCCCCCTTCCCAACCATTCCACTCCATCCTCCTCCTTTTCCACCTACCCCCCTCCTTGCTCCGCCCTTCACCTCCACCCACTCCCCCCCACCACTTGCCATCCGTTCGCCCCCACCCCGCCCTCCCCCACCCCCAGGCCCCCCACCCCTTCCCCATGCCCCCAATGGATCCATGGCCTTGACGGTCCCCTGGCCCTATGCCTACTGGCTCATGGCCACGGGCCTCTGGCCCTCGGCTTCTAGACTCGATCAGATGACTGACTTTAAAGGGCTCCAGTGCATGCCCGCCCCCTCCGCCCGCTCCGCTTGCTCCGCCCTTCCCGGTTTTTTTTTCGTAGCTTTTTCCGTTTTTTTTGGTATTTTTTCTGGCTTGCTGGTCGGGAACCTCTTGGCTTCCCCCCTCTGTCGAGGGGGTACTGAGCCCTCCCACCGCGACAAGGTGGGTTCCCGTTGAGAGGGAAAAAAAAGTCGAGGATCTCCACAGCGGCGTCCACGATGTAGACCTGGGATCACACTGTCGGGGGTTTAGGGTTTAGGGTCTAGGGCTTTTCTAACCTCTTGGGGGGGGGGGGGGGGGGGGGGCGCAGCCCCCTCAACCCTAACCCTACAAACCCTAAACCCTGCAAACATTCAACCCTAAACCCTTAATCCTGAACCCTAAACCCTCAACCCTACAAACCCTAAACCCTACAAACTACAAACCCTAAACCCTAAACCCTCAACCCTCAACCCTCAACCCTAAACCCTAAACCCTAAACCCTAAACCTTAAACCCTAAACCCTAACCCTAGAAACCCTTCAAACCCGCCTTTTATCTGGCACAGCAGCCCGTAGGGCTTCCGCCAGCCGAAGGCAGATAGACTTACCGGAGCACCATGATCGCGCAGTCATCTGGCTGCCTTCCATCAGAGTGCAGACATCAAAGCCCCAGTAACCCCCCTCGTAAGCCTTAACCCTATAAACCCTACAAACCCTAGAAACCCTACAAACCCTATAAACCCTATATACCCTATAAACCCACTAAACCCTCTAAACCCTGAACCCTCAACCCTAACCCTACAAACCCTAAACCCTGCAAACATTAAACCCTAAACCCTAAGTCCTGAACCCTCAACCCTCAACCCTACAAACCCTAAACCCTACAAACCCGAACCCCTAAACCCTAAACCCTAAACCCTAAACCCTAAACCCTAACCCTATCAAAAGGGAGTCCCCAAACAAAGAGACACCGGTTGCAGTTGAGAGGCTTCTAGTTTACGCAGCCTAAATGAAGGTTAGGTCTACAAGGATTGCTTCAATGTAAGGGAGCTCCTATAATAAGAAACCACCCTAAAACCCTAAAACCCTAAACCCTAAACCCTGAACCCTAAACCCTAAACCCTAGACCCCCCAACCCCAAACCCAAAAAACCCTAAACCGCAGTAGAGCCCCCGCAGCAACCAGGGCGCTCATGTTCGGCATGACCACTGCGACGACGTCCAGAGCGATGTAGTTCACTGGCAAAACCTTGGTAGCCCAGTAACCATATTACAATAAGGGTTTAGGGTTTAGGGTTTAGGGTTTAGGGTGCTTTCAAGGAGAGACCATCGCAAAAAAAAGGGTAAAGAGTACCACTGAACAATGGCAAGGAAACAGGCGACCAAGCTCAGCAAGTCAAGCCAAAACTGGCTTCCTTGCCTCACGAGCCCAGCGACCATCCGGGGGAACCCGAAAATGGGGTACCCTTTTTGGGTGGTCCACTTTAAGGGGAGTCTATTCTGTTTGGGGTCGAAAAGAAGTACCCCTATTTGGGCAAATACCAATTTTTTCTAAGGCTACCCTTTTCTGGGGCTGGTTATTTTACAAGGGAACCAAGGGTACCACTGGCCTACCAAGCTGCTGTCTGATGTATCGCACTTGCGAGCACAGCCGGTACCGGTCATCGTCGCCACGGCAGTAGCGTATGCCCGCCACCATGGACGGCAGGACGAAGATGCAGGTAGTCGTTGGCCAGAAGCCTTACTACTGTGGGTGAGTAATGGGGGAATGAGGTACCCTATAGAAGACCTTCACCGGTATATATGAGGCCCTAGCCAAGAGCAAGAAGCATGTAGAGAAGAAGACGATGCCCTCGTTCTCCGTGGCGACCGCGTAGGGAAAAGAGATGTTGGCGACGACGAAGGGCACGAGGCTCACCAGGAGGAAGAAGACATGGCAGCTCCGTTACGTCATAAGCGTTGGATTGCAGAGTCCAGGGAAGAAGCTCCCCAGGAAACATGGGCTGCGAGCCCAAACCAGCCGGTTCAGGAAACCGCCCCAGAAACTTGCGCTCTTGTGGCCGGGGACGGGCCAGAGCCCGGTGGCTGCCAGGGAGGCAGTGAAACAAATGGGGTTTAGGGTAAATCCCCCCCCCAAACACCCGCAAACCCCACTAAACCCCCCCAAAGGCCCTAAGCCCCTAAAATCCAGGCGGCAGGTGCGATGCCGGCGCTGGTGAGGATGCTCGAGTCGGAGGCAGGACGTGTGGAGGTTGATTTAAAGGGTTTAGGGTTTAAAGAGTTTAGGGTTTGGGGTTTAAAGTACCCAGTGTTATTTAAAGCACAGGTATTGTCATCAACTACCATGCAGGCTTTAGTTGAGGGGTTTTAGAGTTTAGGGTTGAAGGTTTAGGGTTTAGGGTTTAGGGTTCAAGGTTGACAGTTTAAGGTTGAGTGTTTATTCAGGGTTGAGGTTTCGAAGACCATACACATGCGTTCAATAGTCTCCATACATGTACAATGTAGCACATATACATAGTAGATATGCATACGTAACCTCCACCCTGACACTGAAAAATCTTCACTGGCGGACATTGCCTCGCTGCGAATGCTAGCGGGGCCCCGAGCCCACGGACCCAGCATTTACAGCGAGGCAATGACGACCAGTGCCCTGAATATCAAAAAAACCCTGAACTGCCGCAACCCCCCCCATGTTGAGGGTTTCGGGTTTACGGTTTACGGTTTAGGGTTTGATTTCCGGTTTCGGGTTTAGGGTTTCGGGTTTCGGGTTTGGGGTTTGGGGTTTAGGGTTTAGAGTTGGGGGTCGGCGGCACTGGCGGTAGCCATTAAATATATTATTGACATTAATGTGATCTGCCGACCGAGCTGGTGGGTCGAGCATGGTCGAGAAGCCCTTCGCGCACCCCGTCATCTGCTAAGTTGTAAGCAGGGATAGTCTTTGGGGTAATCCCTGTGTTAGAAACGTGGCCTGTTGTCTGCTACGTTCCGAAACATCTCGTCGGCTAACGCGCAATCTCAGGGTGGCCGAGAGGTCTTTCCAGGGGCGTAAAACATCGTGAATATACTGGAAGTATCGAGTGTTTTTCGGTTCGCGTTCGCGCAGCATAGAAAATCAAAGTTGGATGCTGGCCCGAGACGATAACAGATTGTGCATGTTGCGGCCTGTGAATCTTAGGGGTGCTGCTGATGCTTACTGTTTCGGGCGGCGTGAGGGTACAAACCGGAAAGGCGTATTACAGTAGGACATAACACAAATAACCTGTCCAGGAAGCTTTTTGCTTCCTGGGCCCAAGCCACGGGTTCAAATTTCACAAGCCCAGACATCCAAAAACGATGACAGTTAAACGCATTCGCGACCAAAAGCGCTCGAAAGTTTCAAGGACGGCGAGGGCCACCACGCCCGCGCCTAGGTGAGAGCGCGTCTTGTGTGCAACATGAGAGCAGGCTTCGACAAAGACCATCGTCCACGGCGCGCGTCAGTCGATCCAGCCCCTGTTGCCCTTCACGCCCTTAGTGTTGATGGGGTAGCATTTTGCAAAGGAGTTCTACTGATAGTGTACAGCAACGTACAGCAGCATGTTCTCTAGACCAATCCTCGCAAGGAGACGTGGCCACAAAAGTTCGCACCTGGAAGACGCGCTGATCGCTGCCAAATGTGTTGTGTGAGGTTGCCCTGGAAAACGCCAACTTCCACCATTCGAAAGCGCCTTGAGGCCTGCAAGAAGAGATTTAAAGGAGCTTGGGAAACTTGTACATGCATGATGTCGCACTGCAATTCTCAACGTCCAAAGTTTAAGGCAGTGAGTTGCGAGTGCAAAGACAAGCTTAGCGGAACAGGACAAAACCACAGCAGTTCTGTCATCACCCAACATCCCCACCATCCTGCAGAACTATTTGGCATGTTTTCATGGTGTGCTTGGCGTGCTAGCTTGCCATCGAGCGCAGAATGCTTCAGAATGCTTCAGAGCCCCTCCAAGACTCGGTGTCTTTTGCTGAGTTCAGTGCTTCAAATCTCAGGTTTGTTTTGGAGACGGCGCTGAGATCTGCCTTGTTAAAGCTAATCGCCAAGCCAACGCTGAAGAGCCAGTTACATTCATGCATAAGGCTTTTGATACAATCAGGAGAGTACCATCGAAGTACATTGAGCGGCTGGCTATTGCAGGCTGGTTTCTCAAAAGGCTAACTTTCCAGAGAGAGCGAGAGATCCAGAGTTGGAGCGAGAGAGCGAGAGAGAACCACAGCTCAAACAGGTGCCGCCTTGCGACCTCGTACGGCCGCATCCACGACTCGATTGGCAGGCAAATCATGGCGCAGCGCCGCACCAAGAGAAGCTGCCTCATCTGCACTCCACGCCCCGAAGTGTCCTGCTAGCCTCAGTTCACAGTACACAACATGCCAGCAGTGTCCCTGACCTAGAGCCTGCATTCACAACAAGCCCATTCATCATCCAACCTCCACGCCACGCACGCTAGCTGCTAATTCGTCTTTACATTGACTTCTCTGGCTTCTGGCCCACTGGCACTTGCAAAGCTCGGCAATCGAACTGCCCTTGTCCTCCACCCTAGGGCCACCCCTGCCCCCTCCCCCGACAGCTTCCGCCATGCCTTTGGATCGGCGTTCCGTGGATCTTGCTTAGATGTTGGAAGGCTGAGAGCCGTTGCAAACCACTCAGCTGCGCTTGGCCACTATGAGGGCTGCGAACGGCTAGAGCATTGCCTTCCGGGGGCCGCAGCAGACTTCCAATCTGGGCCAAGCGTTGAAGCGTTTGCCTTTGCCCATATTCATACTCACAAAAAGTAGTGCCCTGGCATGTTCTGATCATGCTTTGCTCGCTGCCCTTTCCCAGCCCAAGTTGCTTGAAAGCCGGAGCTGCCCTGGCCACTGCGGCCCAAGTCGCGGCTTCGCTCTGGCCCGCCTGCAAAGACCCTTTCACATCCCCTGAAGCCTTTGCTTCCAGATCCAAAGGCCATCAGAGGTTCTATTCATTTTTTTCAGAACCGGCTCCGCAGATTAGACCAACAAGAACAATTATCACTCCATAGTCTGCGCCTGTCGGGTTGAAAAGGCCGCTCGTTCGCTCTCCTTTTGCCTTCTTACCCCTTCGGCCGGAATGCCGGAGTACCCCTTAAGGGATTGCTATCTGCCCAAAACAAATTCCTTTTCCTTTCATGGCAAAACATGTTTGAAAACATATTCCCATGTTTGACACGTTGTTCTCCCAGGAGCCCTTTTGGCTGGGCTCATTAAACACACGAGCGTGATTGCATACTCGAGCTCTCAGGCCCTCACCTTCCATCTGCCGTTCAATCTAGGTGCTTGGGGCAGGCAGAGGCGGCCCCTTCCCATGAAAATTGTTTCCCAGGCTGGGGGTCAGGTGCAAACGAAGCCTATTCAGGAAATAAGATCATGGGAGCAGCGTTCTCAATCCAACTTCAGTCGCACTCTCTGATTCTCTTCCCCTGCGCTTTCGGGTTGCGCGAGTCCCGACCGCAACTTCCACATCATTCGACCCTCTTCCACACTGTCAACTTGCGGATCGACATTACATTTAAGATACAACGTGCAGGTCAAGCCCGAGTGAAGGTGAGCGAGAGCCGTGGCCCATGTCGTCAAAAGTTTACTAGCTTGTTTAGTCCAAGGTCTCAATAGAAGGCCCGTCACGGCAAACGCATGGGATCTTTCACCATCTTACCCCCTATGGCATTTCTTCCTCTCCTACCCCATTGAGTGGCGAAGCCATGCAACTTTCGACATGCTGAATCAAGGTGCACTGCCAACTTTAACTTATCAGTCAAAGCCGAGAAAGCGCCAGGAAAGAAGCTGCTGACTGATGCTGCATGACTTTGCACGGTCAGCATACTGCTCTATGCAGAAGACGCAGAATTGATCTCCGACAGCAAAACAAAACAAAACAGAAACCTGCATCATACAACAACTGACTGCTCCTTGCCTTGCCCATTTCAACATCCACGGATTCCAGAAATGTGACAAGGCAACTTAAGCCGCTTAAGCCAGTCCCCAAGCCCGTCCTTTCGGAAAGCACGCCGATGCAAATCGTATGCAAGATCTGACATCCAGTCAAAGCCTCAATTCACCCGGTCAATTCAAGCACCACTACACCACTTCATGCGCCTCTGCCATGCTCGTAAGCTGTTCGTGACTCAGCCGCAAGCCATCCAACGACATGACTTGCAAAAACTCGAGCAGCTTCAGGGCCTTGGCAAAGCACGAATCGAAGCACAAGACGTCATAAATCAAGCGCATGGCACCCCAGGTGACAGCAACCAGGGTCGACAGAATCGAGAGGCTCAGGCGCGGGCCATGCGCCAGGTACTCTGAAACGAATAGAGCCATTGCCTATCAAAACATATCAAAACTGTCAGCACATCCAGCACTAGAGAGGCCTCGAACTTCGTGCTTCGTTTCCGTAGACAAGAATATCCGCTTTGACTCTCAAATGCTCAAATGCCCAAATGCCATCGAAACAAGCCCTCTTAAAAGGTAAAGGCAAGCAGCCTCGATGGACTCGCTCCTCGAACCAACATCGAAAACTGCTCTGACCTGCACCATGGACTAGCACTTCAGCCACTTCCGCACACAGGCAACAATGGAAAATACTGTTTGCGTACGTTTGCCCGATCTGTTGCCCATTGCTTGCCTTTGCCCAGGCTTTCTTGATAAACATGCTCGATCTGGCATGCGACCAGATGCCGAAGTCGGGTCGTTAAGCCCAGGCACAGGCCCGGCAGCAGCGCAGCAGTAAGCATGCGGGGAAGCTTGCAGCCCGAAGAAGCACCTGCCAAGGATATGGCTGCAATGACATGCAACCTACGAGTAGAGCAGACCGTGCTCGTTCGGGCCTTGAAGAAGCTTCTTCTGGTAAGAATCCCATGCCGTGCTTAAGTCCTGCAGGTGCAGGGTCACAATGAGACCTTCTTGCCAAGTTCCGTCAGCATGTCTGAAAAGAGTGCGCTCTACTCATTCGTTTTTTGTTTCGGGCCTTTTGGAGATTTCTACTGCTGTAGGCCATGCAACTTTGCCGCATGGATTCAACCTTATTTTTTCGCCGTCATCGATTGCAGGAAGCTGAAACAACAACAAACCACGTGAATGAAGCAAACAACCATGGACATGTGTTCGTTGTGATAGCTAATATCGGCGCAGATTCGGACCCCTGCACGACATGCATGTTCCTTCTCGGTAACCGCAATGGTTCAGATTCTTTCCCTGGGGAGGTCGTGGAATGATGTACAAAACCCCTGCCAACAACCCACACTCTCAGCTGTAAGTAACTCTGTTCTTGCACTCTGGATGATTTTTTCACTGCTGCCTCTGTCCTGCCATGGGCGCTCCGGCACTGCCAGTTCGTGCTGAAGGGCCACGCAGGTACTTCGAAGGACCTTATAAGTGTATGAGTTTTCGCAGCGAAAGTGACGGCAACTCAGTCTCACCTCAACTTACTCAACTTCGGCAGCAGCCACAGTACAGTATTCACGTATCCTCACATGCATCCACATGACCAGACCGCGTCGGTGGCGCAGACATGATGCGTACTGTTGGACGTGCGGGGCTCCCCCCCTCCCCGAACAATCGAAGCTGTTTTTGTTTCTCCTGGAATGGTCCAGGGGTCGTATATGCTTCAATAGGGATGAATTAATACAAAGGAAAAGGAATTAGTTAAAAAAGGGATTGAAGGCTTAGGGAAACCCCTCCCCCCGGACCTTGGACGGGATTTCGTGAAATCCAATCCGAGGCTCCCTCACACTACGATTTCGAGAGCCTGCAACCAAAATAAGGCCAAACCTTTGAAACTCCAAAGCCCATTCTGCTGAAGATTTCAAGAGCTTGGCCGAGACCCAAGCAGCCAGGGCATCGAAACCCGGACACGACCCTTGCGATTGCCCCTGAGCATAGCCGAGCTCAGCGCTTCCTGCACTGCCCGCAGGCAGGCGAGGAGCTCTGGCCCCGGTTTCAAGTCCTTGAGGGCTGAGTCAGATTAGATCAGTTTTCACGCCAACGCTGTGCAGTGGTAATGTCCACAGTTCTGCACTGTTCGAATCTGTTCGATGCATGCAGAGAACTCGGACACAGCTCCTTTGTCATGCTCGATGCTCTCATGAAAAGTCACCACGAAGAAACAGCTGTCCTGCGCAGCCTGCACTATTGCCTTGTCCCAAGGCTCCTCCGCAGGATTGCTAGGACATGGTTGCTGCTCCCAGTTCAGTATCGCATAGGGCGGTTGGTATGGGCATGTCATGGAGCGATCGTGTCCAGGTAGTCAACCACTTCCGAAGGCAGCTCACAGAAGTCCGTGCCTGCGGTTCGGGATGTCCCGAGGGCAGGTTTCTTGCGTCACCCCCCCTTCAGTGATAACATCTTAAGCTTCTCGCAGTACCTTCACACTCCAGATCCAGCCACGCACTTCTTGACAGACTTCGACTTCATGCTACGTGCACGCACTAACCAACATGACGGCTTTGCAACACTGCTTGTAGGCGGCGATCCGCACAATTGTCAAGCAAGTTTGCAAGAGGCCTAGGCCATGCACTGCAGGCAGTGCTATGATCCATGCACCGCCGAAGCCCATGTGACTACACAAAAAACACGAGGCTTGACATGATTGTAAGGCTTGCAGGTGTATTGTAGGGGGAGCATGCTGACAGCGTAAAAGGCTACGGGCGAGCTTTTGTGACATTCTTTGACAAGCTGAAGGCTTGAAACATCGCTGAGCCTTGCACCCAACAACAAGTCATCACAGGATGCGGAAGAGTGCATAGGTTGCAATGCCGTGCCGGGCACATGCTGAAAAGAAATTCAACGGCAGGAGCGGACTTCTTTGTCAAGACAGAGGCTGCTTTGCGTCGTACATGTCGCTAGGTATGTAGAGGCACGTGAGACCGTGCTGCACCTGGCGGACAACTTGGCGTGAATATGCGTGAATAGGCCAAGTGCTCTCGGCACTTTCGGCAACTCAAGCTTGCTGCTGTGGAATGTACGACATGTTCTACAAGGAATTAGGTTTGACCGATTTTTGTTCAGAACCAAGGGTCAGACGCAAGATTCTGCTAGAGTTGAGTCCAAACATGAAACCGATATGGCCCATGGTGTTCGTTTGAAGTGGGCACTGGCAGGGAGGCTCAAACACTCAATGCCCAAAATGAATCTTGCCATGTGTGGTTAGTTCTGGATATGCAACAACTAGCCCTACTGGCGGTTGGCCTTGCAAGTCCTACAGCAGGAACGTCAATTAAAAGGCCTTACAGCGCGCGCGGAGGTCATTTCGCCAATTGATCAGCAGCATCTCGCATAAAGACACGTGAGGAAACCTGCAGCAGAATGCACAGAAGATGTCGACACGTTTCGGTACACTACCAAGATCTACACCAAGGCTGTTCTGCAAGTTCAGCAAAGCTGCCTGCTCGAAGTGGCTGGACGAGGAAAGAAATGTCGAAAACCTTTCAAGTCATCCGATGTGTCCGTGATACAAATGCAATCTTCTGCGGGGGCCGAGTCGGATCAAGTCATGTGCGAGACAAAAAGACCCTACCAGTAAGATCAAGATCCCGGCAGCGCCAAAACAACGAGGGATTTGCATCCTGCGCAGGAGAGAGATGGAGAGAGCTTGCTCCATACTCAGCGCAGATCATCTTCTCAGATATCCGCCCCAAATCCCCCCAAGAGGCTTCTGGGGCGTCTGAGAGGGCATATGCCCCCCAGGCGAGTGCCTCACCCACCCCCAACATGACACCCAAAAGAGCCGACGAAGGAGCGGGACACTTTTTTGGGTGGGCGGGTCTGGCGGGACCTGGCTGGTTTTCCCATAAGGCATTTTGTTCAACAAGTGGTTTACACCCCCCATCCCCAGACCCATTTGCTTCAAACTGCAGCCTCGGACCTCCGAAGTCCTCGTCCTCTGAGATTTCTAACCCTGCAGGCTTGGACTTTCAGGAGGTACGTGCAAACCCTGAACCGAAGCCTCAAACCGCGGCATCTCATCGCCCTTTCGGGCCTGTAGGGATCCGACAGACTTTGCTTCACGAAAGGATGTGGGCACTTCCGTGGCCCCCGGCAACCCTCCGAAAAAATCCTAGGGTAGTATACTGCAATATACTGCATACTGTATACATGTCAGGGGAAGACGGCCTCAAGGCGAGCATCCAAAAGGCAAGCTGCCACGGCCCACGGACGCTGAATTCGTGGATTCTCCTGTCAGTCGTGCAGATTTGCCGATTTTTCCTGTACAGTACACTGGCGTCTTCGGCGTCTTGAACAAGCAATGATGATGCAGACTGCTAGCTGAAGTCGTGCTGAAACAACGCAAAGCTATGCGGCCTTCAGCTTGTCCTCAGCTGCTCAGCTTCTGGTTTCAGCATATCTGCGTTTAATCGCATTCCAGCTTTGGTAGTCAAACTATGTTATACATGAGCGGTGATTGTTCCTCGCTCGATGCGGAGCTGAGGCACGGAAGCTGCGCGTAGTAAAAGGAAACACAGTCTGCTGGCTTCTTTCAGGTCGCAAGCTTCCTCGGTGTAGGACTCTCTTCAAATTCGCATTCATTACACATTACACGCTGCTGCGTTGTACTGCACTCCGTTCGAAACCAGGAGTCTGCTTTGATGAGGAGCCCTTCATCACCGCTGCTTTCGCAACTGCTTTCGTCCTCTGTAACCTGACAGGGAAATCACCAACATGGCCGTGACTTTAAAAAGTCGAACCCGCATCATAGAATGCGGAACATGCTGAACCGTTGCGGAGCGACTGCCTCTCTTGTTTCGGGCTCACGCGTTCATTTCAAGACGCGAGGTGCCACTTGGCCCTACATCCCTCTTCGGTCCTGCTCCGCCCCAAACTGTGTCTCTCGATGATATAACGACTGCCTTAAGAACTTACTGGCTGATACTGGCTGCAACAGAAGGGGGGGTTTGACTCGCGCCTCAGCGGCAGTCATCTCTGTCTCTGTATCTCTATCTTCCCGCTCCTCATGCGCATTCCCGGCCGCCTCTGCTGCCGCTGCTTGCTTGCCTCGCCGTTGCTCAGCTTCCTTGGCCAGCCGCTCTTCTTCCGCCTTCTTGGCCGCCTCGGCTGCAGCTGCTTGCTTCGCCCGCCGTTGCTCAGTTTCCTTGGCCAGCCGCTCTTCTTCCGCCTTCTTGGCCGCCTCGGCTGCAGCTGCTTGCTTGGCGCGCCGTTGCTCAGCTTCATTGGCCAGCCGCTCTTCTTCCGCCTTCCTGGCCGCCTCGGCTGCAGCTGCTTGCTTCGCCCGCCGTTGCTCAGTTTCCTTGGCCAGCCGCTCTTCTTCCGCCTTCTTGGCCACCGCTGCAGCTGCTTGCTTCGCCCGCCGTTGCTCAGCTTCATTGGCCAGCCGCTCTTCTTCCGCCTTCCTGGCCGCCTCGGCTGCAGCTGCTTGCTTCGCCCGCCGTTGCTCAGTTTCCTTGGCCAGCCGCTCTTCTTCCGCCTTCTTGGCCACCGCTGCAGCTGCTTGCTTCGCCCGCCGTTGCTCAGTTTCCTTGGCCAGCCACTCTTCTTCCGCCTTCCTGGCCGCCTCGGCTGCAGCTGCTTGCTTCGCCCGCCGTTGCTCAGTTTCCTTGGCCAGCTCCTTCAAGCTTGGTTTCATGCAACGAGATCTCATTGAAACACGCGGATTCGTGCAACCAGAAAATGCGGATTCTTGTAAAGGCGAGGACTCCTGAAACCAATACACGCAGATTTGTGCAACCAATGCCGAGTCGCGTAATTAGGAAACCTGGGTTCGTACCAAAGAACCACTCAGCAGCTTTGGGTTCAAGTTGGTGTCGTGCGCAAGCGAATGCTTCGACTCAATTTGTGCCACTTTGTTGACCACGTAATCACAACCCCCCCCCCTCTCCTCTTAAAAGAATGCCCCTTGTCACCGGCCCCGCCCACCCCGCAACCTCTATGCGTGAGAGGACGCTGAGAGTTCCAATTTGTTTTTACATGTTGTTGAATCTGTTTCGAAGTTGCATGGGGTTGCGATTCAGATCAGGAAAGGGCAGCCCGCATCGGGCAAAGGAGCAATTACTTGGGATGAGAAGCGTGAGTCTGCAAATTTGCGTAGCGCAAGTTTCGCAAGCATGGACCACTGCAGTGAGCACCGTAGGAGTGGATCGCCAAATCTGCAAGTAGAGATAAGTAGAGTATAGTAGAGTGAAGCTGGTCTTGGGAGCAGCTCTGGTAGCATGAATCGGCAATATGTGGCAACCCTTCGGACTTGAGGCGGCCTCTCAGGAAACAATGCAGAATGCGGCGAGCCTGGCAGAGATCCCTTGCTGCTAAGCTGCTACAGCCCTTCGCAGCGCTGGACACATAGCACATAGCACACACGCACCACACACACGTCGCATGGGTGAGATATGGTGAGATTCAACAGCAACGGAAAAACACGGGCCCTACTTTTGGGCATGGCGAATTTTCCTGTCGCAGGAATGATGCGCTTCATCGCGCATGTGCATTTCATTCGCTTCACATGCGCTTGACAAGGGGCTATGTGACATGCCATAAGTCATGCTAGCTGCGGCTTTGCTGCCTGTCGTAATGTGTTACATAGAGTTTGGTTCGGCAAGGCAAGCGGGCCTCTTGTGCTCTTCCGCTTTGTGACTCTCCGAAGCCTTCTTTCTCGGATTCGCCAGGCAAAGGCGGCAACATCAAAGGCGCGCGTGGCACCAGGAGCTCGTGAGGGCGGTTTGGTGCCGGTGCCATGACCGAGTGCAGGAAAAATCCCGCTGGCGCCGGCTCTTGCCGAGTTGGCTCATCCTCGATGGCCAGCAGAGGTCCTGTCCAGGCGTTCGTCTGCCAACTGTGGAGTTAGACTGGCAGCTCACGGGCCTCCGGAGATCTGCGTTAGCCTGGTGCCGAGGTCCTCCAAGGAGTACACTCATAGCACAGGTGATACTCAAAAGCGGCTGTCTATGTGATTCTGTGACATGCAACAGTCATGCTAGCTAGGGCTGTTACATGACATAGAGTTTGGTTCGGCAAGGAAAACGGGCCTCTCGTGCTCTTCCGCTTTGTGACTCTCCGAATCCGGTCGTGCAAGTGGCGTAAGGCAAAGGCGGCGACATCAAAGGTGAGACTGGCACCAGGAGCTCATGAGGTGTTTCTGGTGCCGGTGCCATGACCGAGTGCAGGAAAAATCCCGGTGGAGCCGGCTCTTGCTGAGTTGGCGCATCCTCGATGGCCAGCAGAGGTCCTGTCGAGGGGGTCGTCTGCCTTCCAATCCTCTCTGAACATATCTACTTCAAAGCTGCGGAGTTGGACTGGCAGCTCACAGGCCTCCGGAGGTCGTTGGTGGCGCTGGGGCTTGTTCACGAAATGCAGCACCGCCTCTGCCACTTCCGTTATTCTACACGTAACCGAGATCGCAGTGCGGCAGTGGAACAAGCAATGGCCATTGCTGGCAAGCTGCTGTCGATCTCGATGTCGCTGATGACATCGATCTCGCCAGTGACAGCCTCAAGCACGCTGATGCATGTTGACGTTTTGCTCAGATTTGTTCCGATGTTTTCAGCCTGCTTTCAGGGAAGGCCTCGAGTGGCGCCTGCGCCTTCCGCTTGGTTCCTTTCGCACCCACTGCATTGCCACCGAAGGTTCCAACTGCATGGTCCTTGCAAATGGCTTCTGAGAGGCTTCTCCTTTGATTTTTGTTGTTTAAAACACGTTGGTACTTACTTTCCAAGACTGTGCTCACACTATGGGTGCCCAAAGCCTTCGTCAGCCTTTTCTCCTCTCCTAGCTGGAGCCTGCCTGCAATAGACTGGTTCCGGCGAAAGCTGGGGATTTCTGCTCTAGGAACTCGGCTCAACAATCATCGGAGGCTTTTTTGTTCTGCGAAAGCCATCGAAAGCCTCCCCTTCCCAAGCGCTAGTGACCTGGCGGCTGGTGTGTTGATGGGCTCATAGAATGGGAGTGCCACCATGCAAAAGGCATTGGCATTTCATGTCCATAGGGCGATGATTCAGGGAATTCAGGGCGGGCTTGTTTTCTCGGCCTTCGTTTTTCTGACTTGGGCCGAGGGTTTCTGATTCGGCCTGAATAAGAGGCACTACGTGACCGTCACTCCCCTCTCGGTGTTTCCGCACTCGCCAATTCCCTGTGCGGTTCAGAGAGCCCACTGAAATTGGATGTTATCCAAAGTATCCAAAACATCTCCAAAAGCATGCTTTGGTATCGCGGCTGGCGCCAAATCGTGCATTCTCAGCCAGGTCCCGGGCGCATTCCACGAACAAAACCGGCTGAAGTCCCGTGCACTTGTTGTGGTGTGCGTCGCGCAAACGTGGCAGAGACCTGAGTCCTACAGTCCTACACTGTAGGCCAGCAGACTCCAATAGTTGTCTATCACATCTGGTGATGCATGCCGGTGTCACGAAACTTCTCAGCCGCAGCTCAACGATGCTTGGTCATGACCAATGCTCCGCAACATTGTGGCACGCAGTGACATGCAGTGTTTTTGAGTGTTTTTGTTCGACAATCCTTCAGGTCAACACGGGTCCTTGACCGAAGAGATGGCAGACCAAGGCTGAGGCTGCGAGCTTCGTCTCTGTTGTGAAGTTTTGGGAGATGGGCCTGCGAAAGTGTGAAGCGCAGCGCCACGCAGAGCTTTCACCACGGAAGCAGTAACAGGGTGGACAGGTGCCTTCATGCAGATAGCAGCATTCCATACCGCGAAAACACTTTCCGGAGTGCCAGAACCAGCATTGCCTGCAAGCAGCATGCAAGTGTTGCACAGCGCCTAATAAAAGCCCTGAGAGCCCAACAAGTACTCGTCGAGTCGACAAGTCAGCTGATACTGTGAGAATGACTTACTTGTGTTCGCCTGGCGACTCGTCCATTCTTTCCCATTGTCCTGAATGCACAAACTCGGGCCACGCTCGTGCACAACTGACAAACCACAGCTGAATTGTCCGATAGTTTACATCTTCCGATAGCTTCTGCACCTAATTAGCCTATCTTCGACAAAAGGCTCTTCATGGTTTCATGGAGGGGGGTAAAATCATCCCCAACCGGGGCTTGTTTTCGGCGACGCGGTGATCTCGTCTAGGTCCGGCGCGAAATGGCGCAAATGTGACGTCGCACTCGGCTCGAGGCGGGCTGCGCTCCGGAAAGCCCATTGCCGTCGGACGGCATCCAACACATCTCAAACAGCATGGCATCGCGGCTGCCTTGCAAAGGTCTCGGGCGCATTCCAGTTAAAAATGCTCCGAAAAAAACACCGAGCACTTGTTGTGCTCCGTGTCGCGCAAATGTGGCAGGGACTTGTGCATTGTATACTTTCCTGAAAGGGTTCGCTTCCCGGTTATCGAAAGCTCCCGACCAGTTCCGTGCGAGTGCTCCTCGTGAAGTGCAGAGCTGTCCGTGCACTTTGGGTCTTGGATCGCTCTCACGTAAGTGCTGTTTGCGACCTTTGCGATGCTGTTGTCGTGGTCTTACACTGTTTGGGGTCGCTGGCATAATGCCTCTTTAAGCTGGGGTGAAGCACCTGTCCATGAATGCAGCCAAGAAGCACTGATCATGCACTGGGTCCAGAGAGCATCAGAGAGCAAGATCTCAAACCTCAGACGTCAGAAGCAGATCTGCAGCCAGGAGCCAAGCCGATAATCTTCAAGAAACGCGAAGAAATACGGCCAAGCACTGACAACTGTGCCTGGTGAAACGGAGCTGCACACCGGAAGGGAGCCGAACCATTAAGCTCGGGTGTCTCATGGCAGCAAGACAGGCAAAATAGCATTCAGCAAACACTTCCCTCTCACTCGCGTCGATGAGCCAACTCAGTGTGCTTTGCCACAGGACAGCACAAAAGTTGCCTCTCTTGGCCCCACTGCCACGTGCAGATTGCAAAACACGCCGCTTTCAACCGCACGGGACTAATCGATCAAAGTGGCCCATCTCGCTCTTGTACCTGCACTTCATTGCCGCTCCGAACTCAAACAGAACATCAACATGTCTCATCCAGGAGCTCGAGCGACTCTAGTGACGGCGCACCAGAGGTTCACCAAGCGACTGCCAAATCGGGCTTCATGCAGCAAGCAGAGCAGTGGAGCTTTGTGTCCTTCAGAGAGGCTCTTTGGAGCTTCACAAGAGGGCGTGACACACAGATGGATGTGGAACCTAACTGAGTAGACATGCCTAATTGACGCTGGCTTATTCCTCTCGTCCTAAGCAAACACCTGTATTACATGCACCTGCAACTTTGCACTGCATGCTAGCCGTGTACGAAGGGTTGTAACCCACATACTTCGACATCACTGGTCTTTGACTCGCACTTGACTCTTTCAAAATCACACGCCGAAAGTAAACCCACGAACGCCTTCGGCCCAAACGCGGATGGTCAAGCCCGCAACCTTCTGAGCATTCGAGGTGGTCAAAGGCTCTTGCGACCGGCACAGTTTCGAGCCTTTGCAAGAGCGTCCAGCAGCCCACCCGCATGGTCAGAGCCTCAAAGTCAAACGGCATGCGAGCTTCCAAATCAGCTAGGTGCAGCTAGCACACACAGATGCAGATGGCATCAGATGCCAGAAGCAGTCATTGAAGTCTCTGCGTATCTCTGAGGCCTGTTCTCCCACAACCACGAAGAAATGAAAGCCAGAAGGTAGCGTCGCTCCCAACCCAAGAGACATACCTAAGTTGACACAGCAGCCATAGCAAAGACAGCAATACAACCCTGACAGCACCGAAGCAAAACCCCGCATAAGCGCCACACGCAGCCACTTGTTTGCCACATTGCTGGCGCAGTCTTTGCAGCGCCTCGCACAGGAGACCCCCTCTCTCCAACAGAGTCTCTCACGTCTCAACTCACTCAACTCTGCACGGTCCTGATCCTGTTACATTCTCACGTGCACCTATGTTCTCACGGGTATGCTGCGTCAAGCTGTGCACTCTTTGCTCTTTTCCCCCTTCGCAGGCAAAGCCTGGCCTGAGCCGTTGCATCAGTGGCCGCTAAGGCCTCTTTTTCTTGCGACTTGCCTCAGGGATCATGGAAAAAGCCGACAACTTCAGGTACAGTAGTGGGACAAACAACAGCATGGGCTGGAGCACTGCGCCAGCAGCTGGAACACCTAACAGTCAAGGGATGTTGGTTGTCGCTGGTTGCACTACGTCACCACAGCGCGGGGCTCACCAGAATCTTTTCTCTGCCGGAAGGAAGCGCGGAGGCCTCAAGGGGTAAATGCAGTTCTGGCGACACTATCAAAAAATGTGAGAACACACCACCTGCTGTGGGCAGGCAGGCCACTTGCCCCCCCCTAGGATTCTTGGACGATTTCTGACGAACTACTAGGCAACATTTTCCGTTTCAGGTGAGCTGCTAGCGAATATGTCTTCAACGGCTTCCAGGGCCGAAGGGCTTGGAAGGGGTGGTTTCAAGGTCACTTGCCTTCTCCTTCAGCTCATTGAAGAAGAGCTGCAAAGCCTGAATTGAGTGGCAAGCCCTGTGCACTTGCTGAAATGCCTTGTAAGGGCAGAACCACAACCAGCCCGCGTCTTTCCACAGATCCCTGCACAATGACGGAGTTTTCGGATGGGCCAAGGATCTAAATTGAACTCTGATGAACTCTGACGGTGCAAACCTGAACTACAAATCCAAGGAGCTCGCAGCACTTCGTAACATAGCAGCTGCACTGCAAAAACCCCGACATGGCAGGTGTTCGTAACATAGTAGCTGCACTGCAAAAACCTCGACATGGCAGGTGAGAACAAGAAACGTTTGCCGGCCCATGGGGCACAGAACGGGGATGCCCACGAAGCTAGCGCCAATAGCTGTGCAAATATCAAAAAAACACTGGGCAAGGAGTTCATATACGTTACCAACTGTATGAACCTGTATTATTTCAAGGACAGCCGATGCCTTGAGGCCGAAACAATTTGTCCCGTCAGTTGTCTGATTGTCGGGCGCTGTAACCGGTGAACCTCCTTACACCCTCACATGCAGCCCCGACCTGAACAACAGCAGAGGCGCCCACATCTCGAAGAAAGGACCTGGCCTCGATCTCTCTCTCAGAGGAATCTTTTCGGCGGACGTAGGTACGCCGGCTTTCTCACTGCTCTCTCCATGTGAGAAAATGCTTCGACTCTCTACTACAGTATCTGCACTGTACACGCACACTGTGGAGAGAGCACATCTATCTCTCTCGTGTCGCGCGCCTCGCGGCATCTGTGATCCAAGGCCTCCATCAAAGCGAGAAAGGCGAGTCGCACATTCGACGATCAGCAGAATGCATCACCAGAATGGCAGTAGCATGGCATACGTTGCAATACATTGCAATGCACTGCACCTCCTGACATCGATAGTAGTCTGCAAGGCGGCTCCAGAGCTCGCTGTCGTGTCGAAGATGGTGTGGAAATGAAGCTCTCTCTCCTCACCGTACGGGCACGTTCTCATCGGACAACTCAACATACCTCAACAGCTCCTGTCTGTATCGCAGCGAGCAAGTCTGATGCCACGAAATCCTTCCATGACATTGACCATGGGAAGCACTAAATCTGCCCAGTCTGACCCTGGTAGGTCAATTTGAGCCGTTGAGTCTTAATCTCAGGCTGCGTCAAGCCTTCACCTCTGCATCATGCAGGTTGGCATGCAAGAGGGCCGCAGCCTTGTTCTTGGAATCCAACCATCAAGCCCTACCCCTGCTCATTGCAGCAGAATGTGGCAGAATGCTTCTGGAGTTGAGTCGGAGACCGTTTGCCTGTCAATTCCAATGCCGTGGAAGCCACAGCCTCATGCCGAGCTGCGAGTCTACAGCCATCCTGCTCATCATGTTGGCTCTTAATATTATGACTATGGCTACGTCGCACACGGTGAACACGTTTGCTCCGCTTGTGCGTATGTGGCATGTGGCTGACAAGTCAAGGAGCTGTGGTCTGCTGGCATGAGCTCTACCAAGAATCGCTCGCCATTCTCACCGAACCTGTCCAGCGCCCGCCCCCCCCCCCCCCGCCTCGCCTTGAGCTACCAACTACCAACGACCCACAATCGACACTAGCTCGGAACGTATATTGCGGGCGCCAACACGGCAGGAGAAGTGCGTCCGACAAGGTAGTTAACGCTGGGATCCCCTCCCCCCCCTCCCGGAGCCACCCCCAGCCAACTTGGCCATGCCCCCCCTGCCCTGCTGACTCCTCCATCAGGTGAAGGTCGGAACTTTCTACCTCTTTGCCGGTGCCGGATTATCTTACTGATGCCGCGGTAGCCGCAAAGCCAACCGCTTCCCCAGATATCCATGACAGAGAGAGAGAGAGAGATCAGTTGCGCACTCATCCTGCAACACTCCTTCGAAAAAGCTCTCGGAAGCCTGAATTGCTGGTTCTGCAACAGATCCATTCATGTTCAAAGGTGTCCATGAGATGATGCTGCCGTATCACTCTGTGGATCTCTGTGGCTACATTGCGCTGACATGTTTCTTGTTGCATCCGTTGCATCGCAGACAGCAGCAAACAACAGGGTAGGATCTTTGCCTTGTCCGTCTGAAGCAAGTCATTGACTGCTGCACCAGCTGCTACAGTATTAGGAACCATGCACCCATGTTTGCGGGTCTGGCTTGAGGAGAACGAGCGGCACAATGAAGAGATATCGGATCAAGCCTTTAAGGAGAGCACCTTTCAGAATGCTGCACAACTCGAAGCGAGTTCGCATGCTTTTGCACTACTCAAGGCATTTGCTTCCTTGGGTGAGTTCTCGAAAATCATACATGTCTCTCTCCTGATGTCCTTGTCAAAGTCTCTCCTTTTTGCTCTGGTGCGTATTGACATGACTGCATTCGCATGCGGTATGCTCAGCAAGGTCGCCATTTCTTCTATGTACACGTGAGCTCGAGCTCTATGTGCTATTCACAGACTGCAGCTTCGCATTTCATTAATCACGAACTACTGACCAGTGGTCGCCGTTCACCTCTTACGACATCCCGCAAGTGCAAGAAGAGGATTTTCTGCCTGAGAAAGCACGGCAGATGTGCCCATGTGGCCGTGGAAGCGGGCCACTGAAGCACGAAGAAGCCAAGCCCATGACCGACACTAAGTTCGAGGTGTGTGCAAGGCCCCCCGCCGACCTTCAGCATATTCGGCTCCAGAGCAGGCGGACGCATGTCTCACAAGTTCCAAAACCGCATTGCCCCTCATGGCGCCTTGGGCCTCCAAATGTGTCGAAGCCCTGACAGGACGAAGTAACGAAGTATAATAACATGAGTCAGAGGGCAAATCTTTGCAGATGCGGCCATCTGGCAATGGGATGCCTCCCATGCAGCCGCATGCTGTCGTGCTGCCTGCATCACCGAACTGCCACAAAAACTTCATCTCATGCAGAGATGTGCAGAGACTTGCTCAAATCCGGCCATGGCCTTGGACATGCCAAGGCCGACAGCTGAACCGCCAGGCGATCCTGCAAGAAACCGGCAAAACCCACCTCATTGTGTTGTTGAAAGTGTGCATCGCTGCACAAGGTGGCCAAGAACGGCATGCCCAGATGCATAGCATGTTAATCCAATCCATATGCCCGGCAAGCATAACTAGTGTATAATTATGGCTGCACCGGCTAAGCGGCCTCTCGCACCATTGCACACCATCTGCGACAACATCTTGCAAAGGACTATGAAAATACAGGTGACAATTATTCAACACAAGTACGAACACATAACAGACAGGCAACACCAGCGAGCTGTTGCAATGGATTCGAGACTTGGCCAATAACAAAGATGTGTACACAGCAGTCGCAAAGCTTGGCGAAGCTCTGCACGATTTCGACTGCCCTAGATAAACGGATCTGATATAGCTAAGATGTTTTAGGAGGAGAAGGCATCCTGAAGCGAGAAGCCCATGCACTGAACCGGGGCTTCCGTGCAACACCAGGCTGTAAAATTTGGAAAAAAAATTCCGACTGCTAACATGCAGCCAGTAGCGTTCAGGACTGCCTGAGTGCTGTACTTGCAATTGTCCGTGGCACGTGGGTTGCAATTGCGGTACTCGAGTTGGCTTGAGTGCTAGGCCCCTGAGAACTCGCGCCGGTGGGAGAGGCGGTGGAGGGGCTTTGAGGCTGTCGCAACCTCAGTCTTATAATATCCAGAGATGCGCAAGGTACAGCGTGCGGCTTCACCAAGCTCGCCAAGGTCGAAGCTGACGGGCAAGTTGTCGCAGGTACCAGATGTCAGTCTGCAGCGCTTCGGATATCCTTCACAAATCTGGTGGTGGAGCCAGTCGGTTCAGGATTCGAACCGACAAGCGGATCATGAGCCGACACACGCATCACGCGATGACCTAAGAAGTACGCCTCTGCATTTCCCAAGTAGTCACAATTGGAAGAAGGGGATAGAAGCTTGTCGCCTGACAATTGACAGAGATCAAACAAAGACTACAACTTGGCCGATGTCGGACTTGCCAGCCTGCAGGATTGACTCCACCTTTGGCCGTACAACACTCCATCTGGAACGAAGATCCTCTGCGATGGGGGCATGATAGGCCCTGATAAGCCGGATTTGCAACGTACTGGTGAATGTCACAGGCTAGCCCAAAAAGCGCGGTCACATGTCCTCGCCCTCATCATGTATGAACCTGTCATAGAACACCTGATCAAAAAGTAGTCAGGTCTCGGATGTTGCTCGCGCTTACAAGTGTCACATATGTTGTCACGGCGGTTGCTCACCAAAGAGCTGCTGGAAATTGATTGCCTGGCCCAGAATCCTTATGTGGAATGTATTTGTTGGGCACCGAACCGCATGAAAGAAAATGCAAGAAATAGTTCGATGTGTCAAGTGTCACGATTTAGAGTCGAGCGCAGCTGCTTCCTAGAAAGCAAGGAAATTGGCTCAGGACTCAGGGCATCTCAGGGCATCTCAGGGCTTGGGACTGTGCGGCTCCTAGTGCTCCTCGCGTGAAAAGAACGAGGGGGCTCTCAGGCGGCACTCATTCAGTTTAGCTTCAGCTACTGCATGCCACTCGTGGCTGCAAAGTCAACTGGCTTCAGTCGACTGGCCGGCCTGGTCGAAAGTTGCATCCAACGTTACGTAGAGCTCTTTCTGGTACCTCTTTGGTCTCGCATGGACATCAGCAGATGCATCGATCCCTAACGTTCAGCCCCAAAGCCCATGTGCACTGAATGAAGCTTTCCCAAAGCATCTTTAGGACCTGACCAGTCTCAGGGCTGGCAGGGACTTCACACTTTCCAAATGATTTGCAGTTGCCAGAACGTTTTCAGTTTGAACGGGAGCAGCTAGGAAGGGCAGCTAAGATGCAGACGCCACCTAGGAACAAAACGTACAGAACAGCCACCTCCACACAGCTGTTTTCATGAGGAGACACAACCAACGAGACCACTTGAGTGCTGGGTCAGCGGCAGTTACGTACACCCAGGTGCCGAAGGGATGAAACCTCGACAGTGCGATCACGTGATGCAAAAGCAGGAAATCCTCACGAATCACGGGCCAGCCCCATGGATGCGAGTTTTTCGCTTCAGGCAAGGGCGAACCTTGAATCCCAAGTCCCACATAGCTCTTCGCTGTTCCGGTTGGATGTGCCTGAGCCTCGTTCCCCTTCTAACTTCTAATTGCATGGACTCTGCTCAACCAACTGGATCACTGCTTTTGGGAGTATGAAAAAAGTGCCTACCCATCAAGACTGTTCTTACGTTCGCTTTCATCTAGTCTAGTTTCCTAGTCTACATACTTACATGTCGTCTCCTAATTTCCAGTCATCCGAACTATCATGTGCCGACGAACTTGTCGAAGAACCATTGATCACATTCTGGGATGGCCAACTCTTCAAACGCGCCACACCAGGACTTGAGCAGCAAAGCAATTGTGTGGCTTCCTGTTGACAACGCTGCTCAGATGCGTGCTCTTCGACATGGCCTGTGCGCAGATGCTGTGGAGGCTGTGGAGGCTGTCCATGCAACTGTGCATGCGGCTGCCTGCAGGCTCTGGCTCCTCAACCGGCGCTCCCCCACGCCGCAGAAAACCTCACACGAATGAATCCATACACATCCTCATCTCAAAGGTGAAGATGCAATGTGTGGGACAACTCAGCCAACTCAGCCATCCACCCCAACCACGGCGGCCTTGCTTGCTCAATAATTTCAGGCTCCACAGCAGGCGCGTACGAGATTTGGACCACCTCTTGATGCCAAGAAACTTGAAGAGTCCACTGCTGATGCCGCAAGATCCGCGGCTGCCATCTCAGCGGCTAATCTCATGCTGTCGGCTGCCTCAGGCGAATCACGGCAATCCCTCACAAGTTACAAGTTCAACGTATCGCCCATTTTGCTGTTTCTTAGGCGGCCGCAAAATGCATGATTTCGTAAATGCCTATGGCCTTGGTCAGTCCCGACGGACTCTGTGGGAGCCAGAGCCACTATGAGCCACTTGCATGCAAAGAAAATGTCGAGGCAGTCACCGGCACCACCGCACTGAAAACTGCCCAAACCTCCAAAACAGACTCTGGTATTGATTCATGATTCATGACAATGACCATGTATGGTCAGGAAGAGATCGCAAACTGCTACATGCAAGAAGGCTGGAAGCGTCTTGAGGTGGGGCACGGGCAAGGGTGTAAGGATGTTATATGAACTGGCTTTATGCGCATACATGCTGCCAAAGGTGTCGTGCTCCACAAGGTGGATTGCATGATCTTCTGCGCTTACATGCATGTTCCACACGGTGGTCGGGCTTTGCAAGGTGAAAGATGCACTCACATGCTCCACAATCCCTTCACATGCCTTCACGTTTTACAAGTGAGCGTGAAAGTCCAAAAATGGCTGACTGAATGTTTCACAGGCCCAGGCTGTTCCATTCTCATCTGCAAACAAACGGCGGCTGTGCTCCATGCGCATGCACAGACTAAGAGACCACATCACAAGCATCACGCAGCAAGTGGGTCGTATGGACGGGCGTCTCTGACATCACCGTTTCTCATCAGTGCAAGGGGTGATGGAAGTGCATTGCTCCCTGCTATAGCAAACTTGTGGAAAGCTGGCGTCGCGTGTACAGAGCTTTTTCGAGCACGCGCACACACACACACACACACGCACACACACATGCGCAGGCTACTACCAAATTCCATTCGTTGCATTCTTGCCTGCTGCATAAACCACAAGCTTCCATTCATACAGAGGTTCGTTTTGGCATTGTGGGCCTCCTTTGCCCCTCTTGCATAAACTCTGTAGCTGGCGTAACTTAACGTAACGAATCTCCAAATCATTCTCTGAATTCAGGAAGTCTTCTCAACAAAACTTACGACTCTTCGGAACACAGTGGTCACACACGCAATCGCGCTTGCATTGAGGCGCAGGTTTGCCACTGGATCGTGGTAGGTTGATGTATTCCCTCAACCCACGAGGCATGGCGTTACATGCTGAAGGTGCCGTCAACTCATGTAATCGAGGATGATGAATAATTTGACTCGGTGCCTGTTGTCACTGGTATCCTTTTGGCCTTTTGATCTTAGACATTGTTCGTGCACAGTCGATAATCGGCAGGAACCACAATGTTCTGCGTCAAGCCTGTGCCTGTCAGTGATCTACTCAGCAAGGATAGAAGGCTGTTGATGTGGACCTCTGACTAGCAACCTCAAAACCAGCTGGTACAGAAGGCTCTAGGGCGGAATCGGAAATATTCCACCCCCTTTCGCCCCCGATTCTGCTTGGTTGGCCGGGGGGAGGGAGCCAGTGACCATCCCCAGCCAAGCCAAGCCAAGGTCATACGATGAGGAATGGGACATGCGGGAGCTGCGTCGTGTGGGCTTCTGAATCATCTGCTTCGGTCTAATTCTTCAATGACCTTTTTGCTCTTTGCGATGTTTCTGCATGCACGGATTCGCACACATTCCCCATGACACCTCGTTCGATTCCTTCTCATGATTAAAAGTATCAGTTTGCCGAGAAAGCCCATTCAAGTCAAGCACGAGTAAGGAGAGCAACGAGAACAGACGATAGCTTAAGATGAAATAGGAAGACATGCGATGAATTACGATCTGATGCAATCTTGCTGGTTGGCCTTGAGTCTCCAATAGCGGTCACTGGCTTTGTAGCGAAGCCGATGAACCACTCCAACCACCATCTGCATCTGTCGCATGGTCTCCTTCGTTCAGTGCGTTCAGGGCTTGAAAAGACGCATCTCTAATCATCACACACAGTCTTGGCCGATTCCCTCGTCTGACTTGAACCTTGATGTGTATGTGAACATATGTGTTGCGGTTGAGATACTGGTTGACGTGATTCTGAACAGTACGGTACGATGCATCAGGATGATGAGCCTCAGAATGGACTTGCCTGTGGGCTGCTGGTTCGACGATTGCATGTGAAGTGGACCGTTGCGAAATGCCATGACTCATCAATCCTCGCCGGTGGCAAGAGACTCCGTTTATCAATGATGCTGCGGGTTGTTTCCGCCCATCGCCGACAAACATCCGAGCTAGGCCAAGTTAATGACAGTTCGGAAATGAAAGGGTCGGATGCACGTGCGGCTGTGCCTGTGCAGGCCTGAAAATGATCCGGGTCAGGTTCAAACAGCGAGGCTGTCCTCAAGGGAGGTGATGATGTTGTCGTTGTGTCTCTCTCGAACTCGCATTACCTCGAGTATGACCTCCAAAGGTAATGACACGTTTGCGGTTGCCCGACAAACCGCCTTGTGCAATCCTTATCGTCATGCCATTGCAAGCAGCAGCCCTGCAGCGCAGCAACTCGCAGCCTCCTCGCGCTTTTTCACAAAGCGTTCCAGCGGGAGGCCTTCGCGACCTGGTCTACATCGGATGCAATTGATGCCATCATGTGCCATGTCTGGAGATGTCTGGAGATGTCGGGGGGCAAAAGCAGAGGCCTGTCGGTGATTGCATCCCGTCGTTGAACATCGTGTATATTGCCGGAATATCCTGGCAAAGCTGTGGGGCACCCGTCCCGGGCCCATGGCACGCGCCACCCACCTTGCGCTTGATGACCTTGGACAGCGCCCAGCCCAAAGCACCGTAAGCACGAGCAAAGTCGACACTGTTGTCCAGCTTGTCGACCTGCCCAGCATGAAAGGTGGGTCACTATGCAAGTTTTCCGTTAACTTGATGGCTTCATGTGGCTTCGTGGCTGTGGGGCGGCCCAGCTGGACCTTGTTCAGGATCACCAGAAACTTGTGATTCCTCAAAAAGCTGGCACATGCTGGCCCAAACTTGCTCAACATCGCGGATAGTAGGACCAGGCGACAGTTGGAAAGCACCTGTTCCTTGCGAAATACTCTTTCTGCAAACGAGCAGCAGGCCGGCCAAAGATTTTGTCAGCACTTGCAGGGTTTCCCCAGTCGTCCTCAGATGACATTCCGTCGAGTCGAGGCCAAACGGAGGCCATGTCGGCCCAATCCGGGCTCCGTGCCCTGGCTTGTCCGGGTCAAAGAGAAGCAGGATGAGATCAGCTCGTTTTGCCCACCAACGCACCACCTCGGCGCCATACCCTTGTTTGCATTGCACTGTTTCAAACGGTGCAAGGCCGCCTCTACGAAGTTGTAGCCGCGGCCTTTGGATTCACTCCTAGGTTGAGAACACGAAGCACGGTGTTTGATGTGTCCACACTGTGTTAATGCATACTGAGTCGAGGTGCATGGCCTTCTCATTGACTGGCAGATCTATCATTCCAGGCCTCGGAGTAGAGATGAGCAGAGACCAACTGTGTGCGCAGAATGTGCCCTCTTTTATGGGCTTAAGGGTCTGGCGAGTCCACAATCTGCAAGCCGAATGGAAATTGTGACTCTTGCGGCAAGAGGATGCGCTTCCTCGATAAACATGTTTGCAGCAGCACCATAACAAAAGAATGTAAACAAATGACCACAAGAAGAACTGAGCACGCCCAACAAGTACATGCATCCTTCGCAGCACGCCAGCCAAGGTCTGACCAAAACGCTGCAACCTGACACAGGATACACAGGACGTGCACGCAGATGCACAATTGCCGGTGCTGTGGCGGTTCTGGCACAACTCATAACTCGGCCTCGGCCGCGCTGAGAGATCGCTCAGAGGTTTCCTTTGGGAAGCCCTGTTCAGGTCCCGCAGATAGCCCCCACGTGTCCCCATCCACCACTCTTTATACCACTCTCTCAAGCGATCCCACCACCGCTTCGCCCATTTTACGTGGACTCTGAGGTCCGGCGTCGGGCCGCAAGCATGTACGAGCCAGTAGCATGGCCGAGGTCGCAGCTCAGCAAAGGGTCGATTTTCTGGACATCCAAGAACCGTCGGACCATCCTCAAGGCTGTGGCACAATGTGGCAAGTACTGGCACAAGAATGCATCAGCACTGCTTATCGCCGCACTGTCCTCCACTTCCGTGACCGTCCTTCTCTCAAGGATGGTGAAGCCATCGTCGGTGGGCGCGACGCCAGTATCTTGGACCTCGAGTCGTGTCGCAAGCCTTGACTATCGTTGTTTGCTTCCGTGCCAGCCTATCCAATGACTATGTTGACTCAAAGGAGCATCTTTCCCCAAGAGCTTGTTGATAAAGGTGGACTTGCCAGAAGAGTGGTTCCCAATCACCAAGACCTGAGGAAGGGAAGGCCTGGGAACTCTGTGCCAGGACCAGGTCCAGAATGCTCCAGGGGCTAAAGGTCCGCACCATAGGTGTGAAAGGAAAGGAGTGCATGTCGTACCTGTCTCAGTGTGAGTCGCCTCTGCGAGTCTGCAATTAAAGTCTTTGCCACAAAAACCGCCGAACGGACAACAACATCACAAAGGGCAACTGCGGGCACTCGAAAGGGCGGCCAGGCATCCGGACATCGATGGGGATCAGCAACACGTCCTGTACTCTAACTTTGTCGGCGAATTTAGGTAACTTCGCACGTTGAGCTGAAGCTCGTGTCAGCAGATGGCCTGTAGAAACTTCACAACTCTCCGAAATTCTGCCTCGCCGCTGTTGTGCTGCTGCGCGAAGACAATGAATGCTCACTGCGACCCCTCTCTGCCTCTGCATCCGCTGCCAACGTAGGAGTCTTGCCTGCCTCAAAGTCCTGCGAAAAGGCTCAGGCTCAGTTTAGACCTCTTAGGCTCTTTTGCCAACCATCTATCGAAAATGTGAGGTCCAGACAGGCTACCTGACGCATCAGACAACTTTCCATGACAGTTCACAAATGACAAAGGCCATGACGAGCCGGCCGTGACAGGTCGAGCCAGGGACATAATTAGCAGGCTCAATTTCGAATGTGCTACACTACCGTATGTATACCTCCGAAGCAGCAGGCTTTCAAATGGTTAGTCTTCAACCTCGAAATGCGGCCATCAGCGGTCCGGAATCCGGTATGGCCGCCGCATGCTGGTCCTTGTCTTGGCCTCTGCTCTTATGCCGTGAGTGGCATTTGGCTACGCTGAAGATGCCAGGGGCCGCACGCAACCGAAGCTTACCAGAAGCAGGACTCCTGGAAACAAGTCTGCACACGCGCGTGTGAGAAAATAATATGTGTGTATACACCAGTCTGCAAGGATTGCTTGATGTCCCTCCTGCAACGCAGCACCCAGCCAGCATAACTGGTCGAGGAACTGTGGAAGCGGGTGGAGGCACAGGCTCTGGCACAGGCTCCTCTTTCACCTTCCGCCTGGGCGACTGCTTCATAGCTTGGCAATGCTTTGCACTGGCCCTGTTGCTCCTGGCCTCCCAAATGCGAGCTCACTACCTGGAGTGCAAGTTTCAAGTCGCTGTCAAGTCTCTAACGGCAGACTACTTGAAACCGCCCTCCACTCCACCAGACCCATTGATGGTTCTCGAGGCTCCGGCCCCACCAAGCGAGAGCAGTCAGGCATGCCAGCTGTACCTCCGAAGCACAGATCAGCAACAGAATGCACAGATGGCATTGCCGCCCGACAAAAACATAGGAAGTTGGAGGGCCAGATCGCGCACGAGCAAGGCCCGATGATAGGGTCGACCTGCCGGCTAACGGCTACTGTGGCTCCTGACCTACAAAAAAAACTGAATCATAAACAATGATAGACTGATAGAACGAACAAAAACTGAACAAAAAGACATTGAACATCAACTCCAGCCTCGAAACGCCCGTCTCGGACCGTCCATTGCAAGGCAGATGGATGTGGAATACAGAGCTGATGCAGCGGCCATGACTCTTTCTGCGCAGGCGACAAACATGAAACGCATCTTCCTCGGTGTTGTTCGGCATTATTCCAGGTGTTGTCTGTTCGCAAATGGATCTGACAATCTGTGGTGCTGTGCCACTCTGCCCCTGTTTCAGACTCGTTTAAAGCCTCATGTTTTGATGCTATGAGATGGTGCTGCAGCGTTCACCCTGCACACTGTGCTCCGCGCCAGCTCAGTCGCACAGGCCATATTTCATGTCACTACATGTGGAGCCACACCAAAGAAACCTCCAAAGAACACTCCTCGAAGTCTGGTAGGAGCTGATGATCCAGACATCAGCGGTGCCGCCTGCAAACCTCATCATCGTAAAATGAAACAAGCAAAGAATTTTGTAGGCATGTACACCAACGAAGCGGTTGCTGAAGATCGGACGGTCGCAGGTTGCATCGCGCAGTTGCCTTGCAGGCCTTCCGAGTCTACGCAACGGTCATGCGGCATGGGCCATCTTCATGCTGATCTTTTAGCAGTGGGCTTCGACAACCAACCATCCCACAAGGAAAACGGAGGGTGACATGACCACTCGTTCTAATTCAGACAGTTGCCCTTCAGATTTGAATAGTACCAACTCTCCAAAGGCCAGGCACCAAGCAGAGCGAATCTGCTATGAGCTTCTTGTGCGCGCGCTCTCTGCTGCGAAGGATGTATGACATAATGTCCAAACATCTGGGAATTTCCGGGTTTCTGCCATAGGAAAAAAAGGTGGCAAGTGGTCGCAAGGTGAAGCATGTTGGCAGTTGAGTTGCTCCGCACCGGTTCGTGAGTCCCCGCAAGAGACGAGTAAGCTCTTTTGTGAGAAGTGCGATCTGAGAAGCAGCAGCGCCACATTCATTGGACGACGACTGTGCAATTGTGTGCGAAGAGGCTCATGTCACCGACAGGTGATAGGCTTGCCTGGTGATGCGCCCTTGGCTTCCTGTTTTTGAGCCGTGACATGCGCTTGAGGGAGGCTCCGAGTCTGCTGGTGACGACGTACATCTTTGTTTCTCTTCGCCCATCGCCCTGCTCGCAAGTCAAACTGTTGGCACAAGATGGTACGCAAGTTTGTCAATTTATCAGTTGCTCCACCTCCTCTTCGCTGTGATATTTGATTGGAGGATGGCCCAGGTTCGGACCGCTGCTGCTCGCACCACGCGTCCCCACAACCCAAACTGAGTGAACATAAACTCCCCAGCATCCAACAAATATTGTGAATAAATCCACGGGTTCTGCGTTGAACGAGGTTTGGTGCGAAGATACACGTATTTCTCGAATGTGCGTCGCTTGCTGCGAAAAGTAGGCATGGCGATCATGACCCAAATTGTTCACGCACTTTCAACTCATTGCAATCATTCCAGCCTCGATGCATTCCTGTGGTTGGAACCATCTCCGCCAAGATTCTCCTCGCACCAGCATCTAACATCTAAGAACAATCTTCAATCAGGCACCGGCGGTTGCAGAACAACCATGGTTAGGCGTCGAATCCGCTCTGGCTCCTTTGTGCAGTAGGTCCGCGGGGCAGACCTGCGCTGACAAATACGTGTCTGACTTTTGTGGGAATACGTGTTCTGATTTAGAGTGTTTGCAAAATGTTGGAAGGAACAGTACCATCAGTGTACCAGTTCTTCTATCAGCAATGTCCAGACTGACTTCCGCACTGCAGCATGCTTCCTCGCTTGCCAGGCAAGGTCGCCCACCCATTTTGCACCCTCCACCCCTCGATCGCGCTCTCTCGCGATCGTCCACTAGGAGTGACACGAGGGACTGGGTCACTAGGTCAGGTGAGACTGGTGAAATCTCTACAGATTTCCACAGCAAGTGATAAGCTCTTCCTAAATCTTCGAACCGGTGCATCGAACACATTCACACTCACCCTACTGGACGCTACTCATCGCCTCACCACGCCCTCGCAAAGCTCACGAAGCTCACTCGCGAGCTTCTGGTACCCGAGGAAAAGGTCTTGGGCCTGGCTGTGGAAGCTGGAATAGAAAATGCAACTGCGAGACCGTGGCTCCTCGGAGGTATCCTCTGTGACTCTGTGCGACTGTCTGAAGCTGGCTTTTGGCGAAAAGCAGCATCACAACGGAAGCATCACGTCGGGCGCAAACTTGCGGCTGCCGGTGGGGTCGCCTTGCAGCCAGCACGGCGCTCGGACGTTGTCCTGTATGAACAGTTGTCCCGTATGAACAGCATCTTGATATATCTTGATGTATCTTAAAAGCGCATCCTGCATCCAAGCACTGTGTGGCCTGTTCAGGAGCGCGCAGACATTGACAGAAGTATCGCAAGGGCTTTGCCGATGCGACAGCTGCATTAACTATGCCGGGTTCAGAGCACCTTGCGACGCATAAGCTCTAGCACACGGACAAAGAAGGCAGCAAACAAAGCACGATCAGTAACACGCAAAACGACGAGCTGAGATCAGAGCATGCTAGAGTGTGCCTGCCAGAGAGATGGAGATTGCCGCCAGGGGCAGTCTTGCGAGCAAATGCGCGCCAGCAACGTTTGAAGTCCTAGGCTGGGCTGGGGGGCGAAGTACTAGTCCTTGCACATTGTACCACAGTGCACCTCATCGTTCTTGAACGTGAACATCGGCAACCGGCAACAACAATCCATGCCCAGACTCCCTGATTCCAGACTGGTTGTTGAAGTCGGCGGGGTCGAGGTCCTCAGCTCGGGAAGGGGCTCCGTCTTAGACATGGCATGGCCAGGGGACTTCCGACCTCCAAGAGGGGTTTACGGGGTACCCTTGGCCTCCACACGCTGTTGTAATTGACAGCATGCTACAAGAAACATGTAAATCTAAGGCCGCGTCGAAGAGCTGTTCGTATCAGGAGTCGTAGATGGAGGAGTCGTAGATGGAGGAGTTGTAGAGCTCGCGATGCCACCTGTACTAGAGCTGCTCGTGGTGGTCACGGTGCTGATGAACTGGGCCGCAAGTTCTTCAGAAGAGCCGTCCACGGCTGACAGGTTGCCAACGATACCGACAGTGATGCCGTCTTCACCCAGCGATGCTGCTAGTTCAGACAGGAACGGCGAGTTGCTTCCCAAACTGGACAATCCGATTGCTGCAAGACCAACGCTGGCATCATCAGAAGACATGCTTACCTCCAGTGTGACTGCACCAGTGGTCTGCGCTAACCTCCTCCCATTTGATCCACCGACAACCGAAATGGAGATGGCACCCGGTGGAAGCAGCGAGGCATTTGCAACGGCTCTTGCCAGAGAATCCTCCGAGCCGAGGTCAAATCCTCGAGTGAGACCTTCGAGACGCATCGTCTGTCTCAGTCCCACCACGTGTAACGTACAGTCCTTGACTGGAAGGAATGAGCCGTGCAGATATGGAGGAGGACCTGCATGTTGTCTCGATGTACGGTACTGTCGGCAACCTTCTGCAGAGCTGAATACGCAGGACTCAATTCTAAATGATGGAGCAACTGCCCAGCCGCCCTTCTTGCAGTCGCGATGAAAGGCGGACAGCAAATCAACATCATTCTCAACGTACAACAGGTAGGTCGCTGGGGCATCGGCCCTTAGATACACGTCAGGGCTTCCCACACCGCAGGGCATGCCATGCAACATGCTGACAGTGACCTTGTTTTGGTTTCTCCAAGTGTCTGGACGACCACGGAGAACAATGAACTATAGTTGCTCGGCATGGCGGCTGGAGCTCGTGGACGAAGTTCAACGAAGTACTCGTCACCCGCCTGAGAAGAACAGCTGTGCACCAGTGTGCATCTGCACACACCTGCACACTTCATCGTGCAAAATGCGGGACCCAGGCCTCCAGCGCATCTGGAACTTGCCAAGAAAAGGTTCCTGCTGATGCATCTTGCGAACCTCCAGAGGTTCTTGCAACGCTCTGAGCCATGCTGCATGTGCCCCTAAGAACGGAATATGACGTTCGTAGGATCTGTGTGCCTAGATTGATGGCATCCTTTGCGGCTTCTCCCGGGCAGGAGCTGCGTTGCCACAGATGGAAGTCCTGCATGGACTTGCATAGCCGAAGCATGTTTCAGCAAGTTGCTATACCGTCCGTGATTGTCATCTTCGGTGTAAGGGCGAAGCATTTCGCCACCAGCTTGGTCCAATGGTTGTTTTGCATGCGCTAGTTACTAGTTTCCCTACATTTTGACCCATCAAACATCTATGTGTTCGATATTGTTTTTAAACATAAAACTGATGAAGGGCAGGGAGTGGGAGATGCCTGTCCAGGCTGCGAGTAAGTAGCCCTCAGGGCACAGGTGATTATCGTATTTGCTTTCACGGACCAGGCAGATTTAAGCACCTAAACGTGCTCAATCGGCCGGACTCCGGATCGAAGATTGAAGACTGAAGATGCCCAGGGAGAGTCTCCAGAGCATCTTCAAGCCGACACGCAGGCCGATTAAGCACCTCAATGTGCTTAATCGGCCCCCGGATCCAAGATTGAAGGTTGAAGATGCCCAGGCTGCCTAGAAAGCGAGTCGCAATTTAATGTGAAATACTCAGGGCCAACATACTTATTGTCTTTAGGGGGTACAGGAACAAAAGCTAATCTAATTAAGACCCTTGGTCATAGCATTTGCTGTCAGAAACCTAAATTTAGCGAACATACTGAGAGGACAGTACAGCAACACCAAGGCGAGCAATATGCACGTTCGAAGCTTAATTCAAGCTAATAATCCTTGTGAAGGCTACGTATATTTCATACGCGGCCTAGCGGGGTTGAAGGGAGGGGGGATAAGGGCCTCACGTTCCCCAAACAAGGGCCTAGCAATCCCGGATAAGCCTTAATCAGCCCTAATAAGGGAAAAGCACACCCCTCCCTTCCACCCCTTCGGTCACTTGTGAATATTATGCAACAGAACGAAGATAACAAATACATTTTACTTAAGCAATGCTTTCAGGAATTTGATGAGTATAGCGAATGGGAATGTTAGCCATTTGACTTGCCTCACAAGTTGGAAATACATCTTTAAATGATTTGATTAACATATTAAATGGCTGCTTGTGCAAGCCGCAGTTCATCTCAATCATGTTTGAATCTTGTTTAGGAACGGATCACATGATCACACAGTCTCAACATACCCTTCCAACCTCTTTGGGGGTTCACGCATCCAAACCATATATATATATATATATAGATATGAAGACACATGAGACGTCGGCGTTTCGATGGAAATCGTGCTTGAGAGATACCACGGCGAGTCCCTTTCGGGGTGTGACCATGTATATGTATGTATGTGTATGTATATCTGCTTGTGTGTGTGTGTGCGAGTGTACATGCGTGTACTCTGTCATGCTTCTGCCAACTGAAGCCCTGTCCAGAACGAGCCCAGCTGGCAGCCGCTCCGCATCTGCCCACGTGACTTTGTAGCGCTTGCCCCTCACAAGGACAGCTCCTCTGACAGTGCAGGAAGAACAACATGTGGAGCAACGGACTAAAGCCAAACTACAGAGAGGAGCCAGCTGGACCCTTCATCACAGGTGTCCTACTTGAATTGCCTTGATTTTGGTCTGCACACGTGCTGGGTCCGTGCTCGGCGCAGGGATTTGCGCCGCTCCCCAACTACACGCGATTCCAACTTTGTGAATTTCATGTTTTCCTCGCTGCGGTTGCCAGACAGCGGGAGGCCCAAGGAAACTGTCGGGTGGAAGGCCTTGCAGATGACGACAGCTTGCAACTTTCATATGTGATCCTGCAGTTTAAGGCCAGGACCTCTGCCCCCGGAGTTGGCAACAACACACGCCGGGCGGTTCCCTGCAAGTCTGTCCAAGAAGGCATGCACCTCAAGCTGACGTTTTTTGAGTCAACACACATATGTGTACACACAGATACTGTCCAGACAGAGGGGAGAGAGGAGGGAGATTGAATTTCCTGTGTGACTCTATAAATGTATACTGCGTAATACTTGATTTCTTCTTCCCCGTCTTTCTCTCTCCCCCATTCCTCTTCGATTCCATTTGACCTTCCCCTTGATTTTGTATCCACAATATGCTCCATATATCTTACATACGCTGTCCCTCAAACCCCTCTGTCTGTACCCTATCTACCCTATCTCCGCCGTGTCTACAAAAACCCTAAAAACCTTAATACTCCAAGTACCGTATGTACACTATGTCCGGATACCCTAGATACGCAATGCACTCCTTGCGTGCATAGACATCGCGATCCACGCCCAAGAGCTTTCCAAAACACGTGGTTGAGAGAAAAATATTCGAGCAACATATGCTATCACACAAACCATAATCTCTCACTTAAGATTGCGTATTCCAAGTGTTAATGCGCTCATAGAGATCGCGATCTGAACCTCGAGACCTATCCAAAACAGGCGACTGAGCAATTGAACGGCACAATTTTTTCGAGCAACATGCGCGCACGGAGGCGTGATCTTGTCCACGAACCTCTCCAAACACACATGCTTGAGATGAAGAGACATACAAACACACGCACTTTCCAGAGACCCCGATCTATAACTCAAGATTTGCGCATAACCTCAAGTATACCCCTCTTGTGGCACTGCTAGGCCTAACTCTGGACGTTACCCTTCCTTGGACGCATTAGCAACATTCACGGAGACCGCGATCCAGGTCCGCGGAGCTCCACCTATGTCTCAAGGTCCCCGTGTAACCGTGAAGTACACCCCTAAAGTCGAATTGATGGAATGAATATGAATCAGTACTGCCGCGCACTAGTATGAAACCATTCAATCTTGACACACCAACCCTTATCCTTCGTTGACATTATCGTTTGACTTACAATTTACAACTGTGAGTCGTCCGATTCCCTGCAGAAGCAATGATAGCTCAAGCCTAGCTACGCCAGAGCACCGAATGGCATGGCCTGCCTGCCCCTCCCTCCCCCGGTTGTAGTCGGTGATTGGGGCTTAGGGTTTAGACTGTCATAAGGGTTGGGTTAGTGTTGAAGGTCCCGCCACCTCCAGCCCCAGTGGTGTGGGGGTTTTGATGTAGGGGCCAATTAGGGTTTTAGGCCATTGGGGCTTGGGCTTTAGAACTGTAAGGATCCTTGTAGCTGTCGGCACTTTTCGAACGCGAAGGAGAAGACACGAGATAGCGACGACAGTTACGAGGATGGCGAATGTGGGGGAGGATGCCATGGAGGTGGGGGATGCCATGGGGCTCCGGGAGCCCGGCATTATATCTGCAGTGTGTTTTCTATATTGCCATGAAGCATTCGCAAGGAAGCCAGGCGATCAAGGAGGTATAGACGGGCGGACAATGAGCGAGAGGGAAGTTGCAGCGCAGCACCATCTATGCGCTTGCCACTCTGGCCCCTTCGTCCGTCCGTTACAAGAAGCTGAGTGAAGCGCCGCTGCTGCCGCTGGAGAAGTGGCCGTCGCCGCGTCGTAGTATTCACGGTTGCCCCACTGCCCATACTTTGACCAGAAGCCAGTGTCGACAAAGTACATGAAGAGGGTATTATCTCCAACCTCCTTCACAGGATCGAG